GGGGCGTCCCTCAGCCCAGCCTGTCCCCTCTCACAGTTCCTCGCATAGTCCAGGAGCTCTCAGGGGATGTCCTACTGATGGCTTAGTCCCACTCTCCATGGAGAGGGGACCTAAGCTGCAGTCTGGCCTCCCTCTGCAGGAGGTGACTGGGCTGATCAGGGGAAGGTGCCTCCTCCATCACCCCATCTCTGCTGCTTCCTCTGGCCTCCCTCTGTGGGAGGTGACCAGGCTGATCAGGGGAAGGTGCTGCCCCCATCACCCTGCTCCTGCTGCCACTGCCAGCCATTACAGCTGCGCAGCCTGAGACCCGGGCCTTGCAGCCGCCAGTGCTCACAGTTACCTGAGCCCCGGGCCTCACAGCTGCCGCATTCACGGCTGCCTGAGCCCAACGCTGCTTGAGCCCACCGCTGCCTGAGCCCTGTTCTTGCAGCCGCCAGAACTCACAGTTGCCTGAGCCCCAGGCCTCACAGCTGCCAGGGCTCATAGCTGCCTGAGCCCCAGCCTCGCAGCTGCTGGGACTCACAGTTGCTTGAACCTTAGGCCTCGCAGCTGCTGGGGCTCATGGCTGCCTGGGCCCCGGGCCTTGCAGCCACTGTGGCTTTGGATGGACGTCCAGATGAATGTCTGGAAGACATCCACTCTAATTAGTATATTACCCTTTTATTAGTATAGATACCCATTCCTATGTGTATTGTAGTGAAACCACAGTACAGAAGAGAGGGATATTAAAAACAGCCAGAACAAAAGGCATGTTATCACAAAGGAAAGACACATAACTTAATAACTAACCTCTCAACAGCAATAGTGGAAGTTAGAAGATGTTACAAGAATGTCTTCAAAGTACTGAGACAAAGTAACTATTAAACTTGGATTGTGAAAAACCTCTTTTGTGAATGTAGGTGAAATCAACACCTTTTCAGTTAAACAAGAGCTGAGAGAGTTTACTTCCAACTTATCCTAACCAAAGAAACTTCATTATGTACTTCAGGCAGGAAGATAATGGTCACAGAATAAAGTGTGCAGCAGGAAACAATGGACAAAGGTATTGGTCATAAGTGTTGAAGGGTTCTGAGTTCCTTGTATTACTTGACAATAGGATGAATATATTATTCAACTTTATAATTTGTTAAAGTAAATAGGGATGTTAAATTTAGAGTAACCTCTAGAAAAAGTAGAAGTCTTTAACTTCCAAAACACTGGAGAAAAAACATGAAATGAGAAAAAAAGTTAGATCCAAAAGAAAAGGGAAAAAATGAAACATAAAAAAGGTAGGCCAAATAAAAAGCACAAAATGGGATGGTAGAAATATCTCCAGAAATATTTGTAACCAATGTAAATACAAATGGATCAAATCATTAATGGAAAGGTAAAGATTGTTAGACTGGATAACAGCAGAATCCAGTCATGTGCTATTTATAAGACATTCAAAAAAACAAGAAGAGAGCATTTCAGAATAAAATAATAGAAAAAGATATTGGAAAAACACTTACTGAAGAAAACTGGCATAGCTTTATTGATGTCAAGACAAAGTAGATTTGGGGCAGATAGCATTACTAGAAATAGTTACTATCCTATCTAATAAAAGACAAAAAGGATAATTAACCATACCTCCGCTATGCTTCCCATTGGCTAATCAGCAAGATATGCAAATTAACTGCCAACAAAGATGACGGCCAGCAGCCACGTAGCTGAAGCGAGCAGGGGGTTTGCTTGCTCCAGTGATGGAGGAAGCCAAGGTTCCCCGCCTGCTGTGGCCCGGCTCTAAGCTCCAAAAGCAACAGCTCCAAAAGCAACAAAGTTTCAATTATAGAAGCCAAACACACACCAGATACCTGCTTTCAGCCAGCCGTGGCCTCAGAGCAAGCAGGACGGCAACAAAGTTTCCATAATAGAAGGTAAATAAATCCCAGAATTTTTTAAAAAAAAAAAAAGGAAAAAGGGGGAGACTGAGAGATTCAGTTGCCGGCCAGCTTTCAGTGTATATAAA